TATGAGGTATGGAGAGCACCGGTTCGGAGCCCCAAACCCAGCCCGGGCCCCTGCCAGGTCCTGCCCTGACCTTCGCTCTTGCGTGTTCGTTCGTTCTCGCTTCTTATGGTTGGGTGGGAATTTTCGAAAAAAAACACCATTAACTGTTTGGTTGGTCTGGTTTTACGGTTGGAGGCGGGACACACTCAACAACTAAACCACCAGCTCGACTCAGCTTGTCTGCCAGGAGGTGGCGGACTTGATGGAAGCGAAAGCCATCCATTCCTTCGTGGAAGAAACCTGTGGCCATCTGTGCTCGGGTGCCCATGCCAGCCACCGACCACAAACAGGAGGCTGACGGTGGTTTCGGGGGTCTACCGATGCCCCCTTCAAAACTTCAAAGTTATATTAAGTGTCCCTAAAAATCTAGGAACCAAATCGGGGGAGCTTCCTTGAAGAGGCACTATAGCTATCTTGCGTCCAGTAGGTAGTAGCTTAAGCATTACTAGTAGCGAACTACTCCATCACTTAATTAAGTAGGCGCCTACTTAATTCAGTAGGCGCCTACTTAATGCGCCTACTTAATTAAGTAGGAGGGCGGCGCAGAGTGGGCCAGAAAAAAAAGACTACAGTATGTTCCACTTGTGGTTTCCTGCAGTTCGCTGGTGCCAGCACCCAGGTTGGTCACACCTTCTCGTGCCCAGCGGCGGCAATGTTGCGACCTCGGGCCGTTGACGTCAACATGAACGGGTTTGGTGGCGCCGACGTGGCCTGGAGGTGTTTGATTTGGAATGTCCCAAAATAAGGGTAGCTCTTGGGTAGCCCCCGTGCCAAGCGCGAAGGCAGTGTTTAGCCTGGGATGTATCGAAATGGTGATCCTCACAGGGTTTCGCGGACAAAGGAGGTTAATCATGTCCAAAGGGACGTCACAAGGGCCTCAGATCGGACGATGTGTTCAATCCAAAACACTGTTGGACTCTCGCCGCCCGTAGCTTGGCGCCTTTCATCCCGAGCTGGCGCACGAGCCGGCCCCCCAAAGCACCCGGTTTTTGTCTGCCACGTCAGGAGTTCCTGTCCAGATGGCTGAAGCAGGGCCAGAAGTTGGAGTGGCCTCTCGGCCGGGAACCGGAGGGAAGCCGGTGGGGACCAGAAGAACGTGACGGTGGAAGAGCGAGCCCTCTTGAGGCTGTGGAAGAGCGTGATGAAATCCATGAGGTAGATCTGCCTTTCAGGGTAACGAACCAGCAAGTGGATTAGGGGTGCCAACTGTCGGGTCCTCGGGTCCTAGAGACCATTTGTGTTGGGCATGACCCAGGCAGCATGCTAGTATGGGTCATTACGCAGAAACATAAGGGACAACCCTATAAGGGTCCTTCTAAGAACCCAAGCTCGGTACTCCCTCGTCCAAGACCCATATATATATATAATGAATAAGGGATCGAGCTTGGGTTCTCTGCATTACCCCCAGACCCTGAGTCCCATTCACAGGCCGGAAGGAACAGCCACGCTCCTTCTTCCACGTTTGATGGAAGATACGGACTAACTACCTGCAAAAACGTGTGATGTGAAGATGTGCCACTTCCCTGTGCCTAGTGTGTGACATGTTCTTTCAAGTTGTGCAATGATCTCGCCCACCTGCGATGGACTGTGGAGAAGGAGGACGAAGGATGTGCAGTTGTCCGGGGAACACGAGTTTGGCACTCTTCATCTTTCAAGATGCGTGCCAGTGTGGTGTGCCAGTCTGCAGAATTCGTTCCATTCCTACTGTAAGAAGGTAGAAAGGCGGACACTTCTCATTTCTGACAGTAAACCAAGGGATGTCATCTCTGGTGATTTTCTGGGTCCTTGGCTCCAAGGACAGCCATCCTGGAGGACGGTGCAGATGCTTTCCGGCTGGAGAAGGGCCCCAAAAGGACCCCGGCTCTGTGGAGTTGGACATGAAGGTTCTGAAGGTCTACAAATGAAACGAGCTCCAATGAGTTCAGTTCGGGGATGGCTTTCAAGTTGGTTTCACTTTCCGTCCTTTGGTTTCAAATCAGAGATGGTCAGGTAAGGGAATGAATCGAACAGAACCCTCGCTGGACCGACCGTTGTGCGGATCTCTTGCCTTTGCAGCCCCTTTTTGGCCGAGCACTTCAGTTTGAGTGGCGTATCAATCCACCGGGTGCATACACTGAAGACCCGGGCTCGCCTGCAGAAGCTGCGGCTTCCGCTCGCCGCGACAAGCCGGCCCAGGTCATGGTCCACACGGCCTTCCTCCCGCAGGCTGGCCGATGGGTGGGGTGTGAGCGGCGCCAGTTGGAGGAGGTTTCTCTTGGCACGTCCTGGCCAACATCAGATCTATAAAGTTGGAGTGAGGACTTGGTCTAGCTGGTGCAAGGCTTCAATTGGTGGTCAAAGTTCACTCTGGCTCTTCTCTTCTCAGTGTTCAAGGAGGCATCACCCTTTGCACCCCTGTCATCCGAGTTTCTTGGTCTTGTGACGCAATGGTCTCATGACGGTGCTGGTCTCGTGACGCACGGATTCTTCTTCAGTAGGTTATATCATGTAGTTACATAAAGTTATATTGCATTGGTTAGATCTTTCGTGAGCAGGAGCCAGCGGATGCAACAGCCAGTGGTTCCTAACGTCCGCACTCTCCACCTGGCCGCACACTCCATGTCGGCCACATCGCAGCAGGATGAAAGCCAGCAGGAGGAGTTGGCCTTCATCGCAGAGGAGAGAAAACAAACTGAATATGTGGCTGGAAGATGCTGGAAGTGGCTGGAAGATGCTGGAGTGGCTGGAAGATGCTGGAAGCTGTTCCAAAAGGATGAATGGCTTTTGGATGATGGTCTCAAATCCCAACCGTGCCTGTCTCACCTGTCTGGGATCCCTTTGGTTCTTGGATGGTGCGACCCGTGCTTTGTCCAACCCTCGTAGTCTAAACATCCTCAGCGAAGCTGCGTCGGATTCCTGGATGTGCCCTCTCACGCCCCATAGAGTCTGGATGACAATCATCAACGTCGACAAATCATCGGCGCCCCAAACCATGCTTCCACTTAGCTCCACGATCTACCAGCATAGCTCCCATGCCTTCATGAGGGCTCAGTAGGGACAGAACTTTTTTGACTGTTTGGCGCTTGGAAATTCTGGGTGAGCTTGGCACCCCCAGCTGGGGCACACTGAATTTCTATACGTTGAACATTTTGTTACCCTCAGCTTGGTGTGTGTTTGCAATGGCCTTCATTTGGTGTCCATGTTTATTCTATAGAACAGACGTATTTCTGGGGGGGACACATCAATATTATATATCTAGACTGACGAGTCGCATGTGGGATGCGAGTGACTTCTCACTTCACAAGGCTGTGACTGGGGCACTGTCTTTTTTTAACCTTGCTGGAGAAAGGACCCAGTCACCGTAGCACTGAAGCATCGATCAGATAGGTGTTTCTATGGTCAGCATTGGCAGTCCCTCGTCCCTGGACGCAGCAGTCATTTTGAGACTTTCTCCATCAACTCTGCGGAAAGGAGAAACTTTTTCTGCGGAAAGCCATCACCAGTGAGTACGAAGCTCCCGCAGAAGGACGCCCGTCATCGATGGGCCAAGATCGACCGAATGACCAAAAGGGTGGCTAGAAAGTAATAGGACCGAATGAACAATGAGAGGGATAGGACCATAGGACCATGCCATAGGAGCCTAAAAGACCCCTCCGCAACGCCGCACAATTTTTGCCCAGATGGAACATCTCCTGGCTGTCCCAAGTGATTTCAGGACACAAAGGGACTTGAGACCTGAACGCTATCATTCTGGGGTCATTCCTGAACGTTGCAGCGGATATCGTGGTCAGAAGGTTGGCTTGAAGGGTGACTTGACCAAACATTCATTTCCAAGCAGTTTTTTGAGAATAGGAAGCCACTGAATTTGTTCAATAGTTTGAACAGACTCTGACCCCAAGATTCGCGGTGGGAGATATTAATTTTTGATTGAAAAGGGGACTGGTTCAAGTTGGAAGAGGATATAACTATAACATATTATATAATATTATATGTATATACGATGCTTAGATGGTGACTTTAGATGGTTTGGCCTTAGGGGCCAACATCATCCGGTACGCTGAAAGATGCCAGGAGTGTACTGGCTTTCTGCCAGCGCCTCAGGATTCCGAGCGCGGTCGGGTCGGACATTTCTGCCGCAATCGGCCCGGGTCAAAGAGCTTGGGACTCAAAGACTTGGACCTCCAATCGCCAAGGTTCAAACATGACTTGCTGGGCCACTGATTGTTCTCAAATTTGCTTCAGCTTTCAGCACTGGCAGAGACACTTCGACCTGCGCGGACTTCCAGGTCGATAACAGCTCCTCGTGGGTCAACAGCAAGACGGTGACCATTGACTTGCATTGCTGAGGAATGTTGCGAAGCAACATCCGCACAGCACTTGATTCAAACGTCAAAGACCAATTTCACTTGCTGGTTGGATTGGGGCAGCTTAAAGTCCGTTGCCGTTTTCTGAAAGTCTCATTCTTCCATTGGTCCATTTTGGCCGATTCTTGGCGTGGCAATACATTTGGCCAATGTCGAAACCAGCGAGAAAGACTCCACCAAGGCACAAATAAAGATCTTTTCGCGTTTGTGCTCAGCGTGCTCGCGCTTCAGTGTCCGAACAACTCTGGTGTCGGAACGCACCCAAGCCGAACGGTGGATCAAAGCAAATCGACCGCTGGCGGTGGAAAAGCAAGGTGTGTTTCGCACGTGTGAGAGCTTCGAAAATAGTTTACCCTGTGCAAGTACGGGAAAGGCTGTTTCTTCCTCTCAGTTAAAGGTGGTCTATTTTTAAGGGTATGTTTTCAGGGAGTGAACCGACTCCAAATCGTACGATTGGTTCATCTAAAGTTCTCAGCCTCATGCAGCAAGATTGGAGACAGGTTTTGAGGGGGTTTTCGGTGAGCGCCTCAGCGTCGTGTCTTCTGCTTAGCACCCTGCGATGTGCGAAGACGATGTCGTCTCCCGGAAAGGGTGAAGTCCACCCCTTCGGCACACGAGGCGAAGATTGACTTCGACTGCGATCCCTGGCCCAGCTTCCCACAGGTCGGGCGCGAATTGGACCAGGACCAGATTCCAAGAAGCACTATGAATTAGCTGGAACAGGATGGAACAGGTGCACTTGGAGTTGGTTCCACATATATAATTGCATATACATATACAAATATTAGGTTAGTAATAGTGGAGCCTGACATATTCTGACATCTTCTGCGTCGACATGATCCCGAGGTTGTGGTGGCGTCTCAGGTTTGTATCGCATCATGTCCGGCTACAAGTGGTTTCGAAGCGGGATGGGCACCGACCTGCATCCCCGGTCCAACATCCCCACTGCCCCGTGCTGCGCAGGCGCGCGATTTGTGCCAACAGCTCTTGGCCTTTCAACCAGAGGAGTGAGAAGTCGAGGGACAAAGTGGAAGAATCATGAAGACTCTGGAGTTCCAATGAGGATGTCTTGGATTTTTTTTGCCCCAAAACCACTTGTTATAGGTGGCTGGAAGGAGTTTAGTTGTTATATGTGTTATTATAACATTGACTAACTGTCCTGGAGCCACCAGAATGTGGAACATTTGAGCTGATGCTGTGGCTTGGGGGTGTCTCTTGCTTGAGCCACATCCAAGCAAAATGGGTTGCAATCTCAGCCCTCTGGCATCCGGTCATGTTTCCCTTCGGAACCTTCCGGGTGACCGGAGCCCTTCTGCCGGCATCCACCGGCTCGTCCGCAGACCCGAAGGATCGGTCTCACCGAGTTCGCAGGACCGAAGCCCTTCTGCACGAGCCGCTTTGAATCATCCTTGGCTGAGTGGAAAGTGAGAGTGCTTTCATCACAGCCGCAGGCGGCCAGACCACGCTTGAACAAAACCTTTGACATCCATTTAATCCCCAGGTGACTAGCTATGCACTGTGACTAGCTATGCACTGGCAGTTTTCAAGACCAAGACCTTTTGTGCTGTTGTTGACGTTGTTTGGCCCCGCTACGTCCGGATTTTGGGGCTGAAGGCCCATCCGCGCCGTCGCGCAGCACCAAGCTTTTCACTTTCCTAGGAAGGCACGGCCCAAGAAGGGACGAACACGCCATGCAGCTGACGCTTTTCTGCTGATTTGAGGAACAAGGCCCAGTTATCAAAAAAGATATGAGAAAGTGGCATGCCCAACCACCCGTTGCAGTTTGGGGTCACTAGATTCTCCCAAACAAATCCAAACAACACATGTGCCACTTAAGATCTTCTCCCCTCTCACATGGCGTTTTCCCTCTGGCCGATGTGGCAGCGTTTTCTGCGGTTGGTCTTGCGGCAAGACTCTGATGATGCCGAAGATGTTGAATGACTGAATGACGTAAAGGCATTTCATCAAGTTCATCTTTTTAAAGATCAGCTCCTGCTAGGTGTCCCTCCAAGCCAGCCGTAGTTCCACACCAGTAGCCTGAAGCTTCGCCACATTTGCCGCAAGACGGCCGCCACCATTGGCCGCCACCCTTGATGTTGTGGGAGGCAGGTCAAAGGAACCTCCAGAGGATGGCTCCTTTCGATTTCAGCGCCGCATGATCGCCGCACTCTGCTTTTTTTCCCCGAAAGTGCACAGGAAAGAGAGAATGGGCGTCGCGAGATTCACTGATTTCTTCGAACAGCTTGCGGCACCCAAGGTGGAGACCAGCCAAATGTACCGGTTTGCGGTTCTTGAGCGACACAAACACCTCACCATCACCAAACGAAGAATCATGAGGCGCAGGAATAACTATGATTGCTGTAAATATGAATCAATCAACATCGTAGGTGTAGGAACGTTTGTCTCCTTTGCCACCGCAGCTTGGCTTGGGAGAGACCAACGAGGTCCCAGGACCGGAGAGAACGGGGTTCCTCATTGAGGCCAGAGAACTCGCGGCTGTGAAGCGAAGTGGCTGAAGTTAAGAGAGACTTGGGTAGACGGATGGGACCGATGGGACATCAGGAGATAGGAATAGAGAGGACGTTTTCTGGGCAATTGGGGGATTGGGGTGGGGTGGATGATAACCACTCGAAGTCATCTGAAAATGAACGTCAATTGCTTGAGAGTGGTGGTTAGAGCACCCACCATCTGTGGCCCAGTGGCATTGTGGCCTGGTGGTCTACATCCTCCATATGTCATCGTGGGAATAATCAGCCCCCACCCGTTGAAGGTATTGGAGACTACATGACTAGATCCTGATGATCAGGTGATGACCTGGACCTGATGATGGATGATGGTTGATGGGATTCTGAACCATGAGAGCTTAACATATTAGCACAGGCTTTATGAGATATCAGTGCCATGCCAATTAGGAGCTTGTGCCTGAGAGCATGGAGGAGGAATGGGCACTGGAGGCTCTATGTGGTGAGAGTGGATGCCTAAACTGGATGGTCTGATTGGCGGAGTGTGGACGATTGGTTTGATCTGATGGCCTATGACACCCAATGGGAGAGAGATGAGCATATAGCTGGAAAGCAAAGTAATATGGGAACCTTCCAATATGGAGGAGATGAGGCATTGAGGCATTGGATGAGTAAAGCAGAGGATGGGGCGGGATCAGCAATGATGAGATGAAGAAGGTGATGAGCCTGAGAACGCTTAGGAATCTTTATATTGCCTCAGGTTATTTGTCTGTGGTTGATGAACTTGTCAGTTTGACAATTAGTCAAGTTCATTAACGTTTGGTGCTGCCATCTCAGGAGCAAGGTGCATAAGAATGATGAGCTTTGGCCTATCTATGAGAAGATTAGCCAGCTGATGAGTTCAGCAGAACCTGGATCATCCAGGTGATGAGTGGCTGATAGAGAGTTGGCGTGGCCAATGAGTTGATGAGCTCAATGTCGAGTACCTATATATATATATACATGTATATATAAGGGGAAGAACAGAAGGAACTACTGCTAAGTGCAGAAGGAGCTACTGCTGTAGCAAGGGTTTGAGGATGACGATCTTCGAACCCAAAAACGGCTGTAAGAATAGCAGGCAGCGACCGATGGCGCATGTCGCGCGGGAGTTGCTGAAGAAGGAATTGGTGACCTTGATGAAGGCCCAAGCGACGGGACGCATGTGTTTTGTCACTGGAATCGGTCGGAGTCTGGACGGTCCCTCGGCCCAGGAGATTGGAGGTGGCAGAAAGGTTCCAGAGTGTGTGAAGAACCAAGGTGTCTGTGGATGGCATGGAACGTGTTGCTAGGCAGTGACGCTCCCCCGATTTGGATGTTTGGATGCCCCACTCTGACTGTCATTGGCTGAAAGATGTGGAATGGAACTCTGTGGTTAGCTTTTAGACCTTAGTCAACAGCTTTTCATTGCTTGCTTTGGGTGTGTTTTGGTTTAGAGGAACCTGGTGTTGCGTGGTCCAAGTCAAGTAGTTTTTCATGAACCTAGAGTTGTTTGAAGGTTCTACGGGCGTGGTAGGCCTTTTTCATGTTCGGAAAGCCGGTAAATCCATTTTGCACTTGCTATGCTTCGATAGCCTTAGAACTTAGAACATTTGTAGTGACGGACACCCACTTAGACAATATTTTGGAAGAGTCCAACAGAATCGTGTGCAGTTCACATATCTGCCGTTCTAAAGCAAACCAGATCAACAATCTACTGAATCATCTGGTTTATGATGTACACATACAGTAACAGACACCCAAATACAATATCATAATTTGTATATAATATATATATTCTTAACATGGAAGGTCTATCGTTTTGAAGAAAATCAAACCACATTCCTTTGAAAACTTAAAGACACTCAACTGGGAACATTTAAACGTAGACTAAAGTGAGCAAGCAAACCATTGGTCAACACCTTCATACGGTGGATGTTTGTCATTTTGCACATGCCAGTAAATCTAGGAAGGTGGACTACGATGGGTTCTAAATCTATATAGTAGGTGCATTTCAAGAAGCAATGCCAGTGGTGAAAGGGCATCATACTGGGCGTTTTTAAAGCCTGGTCCCTATGTAGCCGAAGCACCCGTAGTAACCGGAGATGAAAGCAACTGGACGGATCATTTGGAACGCAGGAAGACACGAGATAAATAGCCACGGCACGCCACAGCTAGGCGATGTGGACACAAAACAAGGATATGGCAGGAAAACGGAGATAGCTGCTGAACTCGGCTGTTGATTTCAACATGTGCGAGAAAACCCTATGTTTAACGTTTCATATGTTCATGTCAACTAGGATACATCAAACTCCACAGTTTGCTCGCCGGCAATTTTTACTGCTGTGTATTCGACCCCATCCTTTGTTGATGTTTATCATTGAATTCTACCACTTAGTGAACACTGGTGTTTTTGTCGCTAAACAACATGTAGAATCTGCTGAATCTACTGTTTTCATCTGTTTTCGACCCCTTTCAAACTTGGATTCTACAACCATAGGAGTCTGACGGAGGCGGCAGCTCGATTGACGAGCATATTAGTGCATGTGAATGGTTGAACTTTTGCATTCCAGCAAGTTTAAGATGAGAGATAAACAATCTTTTTGCAAGTGTTGGTCTTTTGCGAGATGATTGTTGTTCTTGGGAGGGTGATTGCGCAGTCAATGCATCAGGATTGAATCCCATTGAACAAAACCGAAAATCCCTTTATTGATTGCGTTCGAATTCCGCGCTATTCCACGCTATTCCACGCACGGCCTCCTGGGCATGCTTCAGGATGAGAGCTGCGGCTTCTCTGTGGGTTTGGAGGAGGGAGCGAGGGAGCGAGGACGCTGAGAATGACCCCGAGCGGGTTCTCTGCCCGAGCATTGGGACGGGCTGCGTCCGTCAGCGAGAGGAGTAGATATATAGATCTTTGTACAAAGTCTTTTTCGCAGGCAAAACAGAGCAAGTCGGTCGGCCATTCTTTCCGATTGGTGAGCAGGAAAACGATGATGTTGAAGTGTTACCCACTTGTCATAGGCCAACTTCATCATTTCATCCCATTTTTCACCTCCAGTTGCACCCCAAAAACTGTTCCAGTTGGGGTCCCAACCCACCAGTCTGACGGTCGCCGGTGTTGACGACCATGGTCGTCTCGTCCAGGACGATTCGGACTTCTTCACCTGGCGCGTGGTCTTCGAGGGTCCGGCCGAGAGCCTGTGGGGACGCCTGAGGGGACGCGGTTGCCGGGACCTCGGGGGGGAGCAAGGGAAGACCACGGGACGGAAGCTGAGGGTTTTACACACCAAAGGCAACTACGTGTCCTTTTTTTCTCTTTCAGCAGAGCTGGTGCATGAAGAGATTGAGATGAGATGCAGATGCGTGTCAGATGTGTGTCGGGAGATGGTGATGACGCAAGCTCGTTTAGGTATGAGGGTGGCATTTTCACCGCGATCCTAAAGTTCCCGTCCGACTTCCCGAACAACCCGCCAGAGATGAGGCCAGAATGCCTCAGTTCACGGAAGGGGGAAGGGTTGCGCGGCGACGCATCTTGCCACGGGCGCGTTGGCCTAGCTCAACCGCTTTTCGATTTCCAATAAGGCTTTGGACACTGCCACTAGTGGCAACTGCAGTCGTAAAATCATGTGAAGAACTGCTTCAAAGTCAATAATTGTATCCTGTGCAACTCAATTCAAGGCCCACTGTGACTTCGAAACAAGGCGGATGGAGCATTCATGGTGCAGTGTTTCCTTCCAAGACAGCTGGAGAAAGCCCCTGGGTCGTGGTAATGGAAGAAACCTGGTGCTTCTATAACCATTTGTGAAGCCACCCCAAAATACTGGAATGTTGCACCTTGGTGACTGAGCTGGGCCCCAATGCATGTGTCAAGATGCAAACGTCTTGACCTTGAGCCGCACTGAAGAGACGGCAAGGGTGCTGTGGAAAGACAGATGGCTTCCGCTGAGTCAACGTAACCGGGTCGCAGAATCCCAAAAACTGTAGCGAGACTGCGTTCACCCCCACATGAAGGTACTCCACCATGCTATTGAAGGCGCTGAAATCCACTGAAGCCTCTACATCATTGCAAAGGACGCCCAACTCCAAGAACGTCTTCAAGCATGCAAGAACCCTTCAATCGGCAGCGAGACAGCCGTTTCCCTTGGCATTTTCGACCTGTGTCATGTAGACATCTTATGACATGATGTGGAACATGGGGTGGATGCCAGGGTCGGTCCGCTCGCCGCATTGGAACATGCGAAGACTCAAACCCGATGACCCGAAAAAAAGACAGGCCACCAGTGTATCCGATCGAGTGTCATTTGGATGATGTTTGAAAAGGTTGGGGTACCCATGGGACAGTCTATAGCGTATGTTAGGGTTCTTCAACCTCTGTTGGTACAAATCAAAATTCTGGATGGCGTTTGGGGCGTCGGCCAGGGGTCTTTCTGTCGCGCCCGCTTGGTCTGGGGACCGCCATCGCAATTCTGCGAGGTTCGAGACCGAGATGTGGCATCCCAACATCTACCCGGATGGCCGGGTGGTGCTGGCGATGGTTGTTCACTGGAAAGAAGGAGAATGAGAAGCTGAGCTGCTCAGCTGTGAGGTCAGAAAGTTCAACAAAAATCGGATCATTCATATGGACATTTTAAAGACCCAGCTGCGGGTGGCAGTATTGGAGGCCCAGTTGAAGTTCCTGATTGTGTTTGTTCCTTGGCCAGATACACGATTACAGTACATGAACAACTCCTAAGCTTGCAAGTTGGGAAGCATGTGTGGATTGTGTATGACCAGCTGATCCTCAGACAGCAGCTCGTGTCATGTGCACATTGTTTCATGCTTTTGTGCACAAGTAGATGGCGGTCTAACACTGGTCGGTGCTATGTGCCCAAGGGAGTTTGGCACATCTTCCCTTCCACCACTGAACCACTTCACATTTGCAGTGAGATGTGCCAGGTCTGCATCTCCATCTTGCATCCTCCAGGCACCGATCGTTTCAATGACCAGGACGGAACACCCACCTTCCCCACCCCGCGGGTCCATCAACGTGTACGACCGGTCCTGGACCGGTCCAGGAGAGTCCATCAACGTCCGGTTGCCCCGCCCCACGCATGGTGCACGAAGTCTTGGGTCCGAGAAATGCATACCAAAGCCGAAGGAAAACCGAAGGAACACCGAAGGGACCAGCTGTCCATTCCTGGTTCGAAGGATGTGGCCAGCGATTCCCTCCCCCTCCTCTCCACCCGATGGGTTTAGCCACCGCAGCGGTCTCCGCGGTCTCCGCGGTCTCCGCGGTCTCCGCTGTCTCCGCTCGTTCGTGCACCGTCGACGCGTCGCAGGAGACCGCGGATGAGCGCTGGCGGCCGATCCTGGGCGTTCATAGCATCCTCATCAGTGCCGGGTAGCACAGGATTGGCCGCGATGCAAAAGACGAAAGAAGGGAGGACGACCCACGCTCAGCTTCCGGGGGAGGTCGCGAAATTTGGGAGTGAAGAACTGGTCAGAGACGAAATACGCCGTGCTGACTCTTTTTGGAGTGTTTTTTCCCGAATGCGTAGCGAAGGGTTCCCGTTTATAGTTGGGGGTGTGGGGGTTGGACATGTGTTTGCATGGCCTGCGTCGTGTCGTCGTCTGTCGTCGTCTGTCGTCGTCTCTCGTCGTTTGTCGTCGTCGTCGCGTCTCAAATTTGCTGCCATTGGGGGAAGCTTTTGCAAGTGACTTTGCATGGATGTGTCACGTGTCAGTTTGCGCCGCTATTCCATTGTGATTTGCGTGACACGGACATGTCGCGCAAGAAACGTGATGCACTTCGCTGCACAGGCGCAGCGTTTTGTGAGATCCGCAGATTACGGCGCAGTTCCATTGGGATTAGCGTTTGGAGAGTCGTGTTTTGGGGTGTTGGATGTGGCCGTGCCATTGGGATTTGCGTTTCAGGGTGTGGCATCGAAGCTCTGTTTTCGTGACAAGTCTCAGCTGAAATGGCGATTTTGATGGATGGGAGTGTGCTCTGAATGGGTCGAAATCATTCCAAACGTGTGGTGTGGTGCAAATTTTGTTGAAGCTCACATGCGACGATATTGTCACTTTTCGTGGCAGGCGCAGGACTTCGTGCGGGCTTTGAAGCGTGGAAGTGCAATTCTCGTGGCAGGCGCAGGGAATCGTGAGGTTGCGAGGTGTGAGGGAGGTGACATTTCGTGGCAGGCGCAGTACTTTGTGCGCGTTAGACGTGTGGATGGGGAAAGATTCGTGGCAGGCGCAGGGAATTGTGAGGTTGTGAGTTGTGGTAGAGGTGAGTGTCGCTGTCCCATTGGGATTGGCGTGTGAGCGGATGTTGCTTGGAGGGGCTGGAATCGCGAAACTGCTTGGCAGGGCTGCGTGATGTGTGTGCTCCGATGGGTGTTTCCGCTTGACTTTTGGAGGAAGTCTCGTACGAAACGCTCGTTTTGCAGACTTTGACGTGTGAGTTTTTGAGGAAGTCTCGTACGAAACGCTCGTTTTGGAGACTTGACGCGCAACCCTCTGCAGGGAGCGTGCGTGTCGAGTGCACCAAATGCAGGCGAGAGTGCGATTTGTCCCATGCGCGCGCAACCCTCTG